GTATAGATAGTATTTATTTACCTCATGATATACTGCAAAACCTAATTAATCACTAATTTCTAACTTTATGTACTCTTGTCTCCTATTATACCTTCCAAACATCCTTAATTCAAAATTTTCTTCAAATATCCCCATATATACTTATATTAAATGCATGTATTTTATGTGCGATTTACTATTCTAGTTGAAGAGTCAAATAAAGATTAATTATCCCAACCTTTTGTTTTCGTTTCATAATTATAGACCTTCAATTGAACATGTACTAAACGTTATTATGATAAAAAAAAATCAAAATTAAACTTTTTTTTATTTTGTATGGCCAAGTTTGAGTTTAATCAAAGAATCATGATCCACTTCAAACGAAAAGGCGCTAAACAGATTTATTATTATCTTCAAATTAAGTATAACTGTTGAGGCAGGATTATGCTGATTATATTTTTACAGTATTTTTACTGAAATTGAAACAAAAAAAAAACGAATAATCCATGTCTATTTAACAAAAAGAATGCTTAATACTCACGATTTTATAAATTCGTATTATTATCCTTCTTAATTTATTAATTATTCCATATCATGAAATGAATGTAGTTTTATATAAAACGTATAGGTAAATGGAACAGCCAAGGTCGTGGCATTGCACCGTTTTATAAAACAAGTACATTACATACTAACTTAAGTACATATAAACTGATGTTATAGTTTGGTCTTAGTTCTACAACTAATTCAAACCGAGATTATGAATACTAGCAATACCAAACGACAGCAACAAGCGAAAGTTTAAATAAGTGTGTCATTTTTTCTTCCAAGTAAACGAGGTAGTAGACACACTATGCAACCTTAAAATCCATTGTTATTTGGTGTAGTTTCTACTTCTGGGTAAGGTGCCCGTGAAATACCCATGAAGCCAAAGTGAGTCACGCTTTAATATTTATAACATATTATTATTGCTTTAAGCCAGTAAGATTTGAGAAAGATCTATCATTATGATAGTTACAGTTAATCAAATAACTGTTGGTGTAGTTGCAAATGCAGTACCGTTGGGTGATATTGAACTATAACTCACATAATTGCAAAAGTACTGAAAAGTTCTGCTATCAGGTAAGAGATTAATAAATAAGTGCAGTAATACGTATTTACAATCAATTACCATCTAATTTCTTATTCGTTTTCTGCAACTTTTATTCTTAAAATTCAGCAAGCAATTGTGAAGAAGGAGAGACCAATTAAAAAACCCATTTCTGAACATGTTTATAGATACCATTTTCAAAAAAGATAAAAGGCATTAAATGATTCGATAGATTTTAAGAAATCTAAAATTTTATGTTCAAACATTACAAATTTTTTACAAGATAAACTCAAAAAGGTTGTAGAACGTTTGAATCCAATAGCAAACATTCTCACAAACCCTTTAGAGAAAAATAAAACATTACAAGTAAAAATACTGAAAAATTGACTCTGTTAGTCAGTTAAAGATATTATTTGATATAAAGCTCTTCTAATATGTAAGGCATGATGAAGGTAGCTGCTACATATAAAATAGCTATTTGAAAAACGTTTTCGTCTTTGCCAGCTAATATCTACAGCGAGCTTTTGGGTGGCTTCGAACGAAAAAAAAATGTTTAATTAAAATTTAATGGGGAAAGTCTTAATGCTCTAATTTTGATAAAAAGATCTTTGCAATGTTATTGACCTAAACAATATGGTGAATTTATAGACAGAACTTAAACACAGGCGAATTCGAGTAGGTTAATAATATTAACCTCTTGTATTAACAATGTTTATCTGGTTCGATTCCCGGCGATAGTGTCATAGCAGCAACAAAAAATTTTTACTCATTAACTTGAGGTGATTGTAATGGAATGAAATTAAGTTGATTTAATTTTAATGTTTGGTAATTATTTATTATTTATAAATGCATATTTTTGCACGCGTGTGTGTAAAACGTTAGTTGGAAAATTAAAGTACAAACATTGGTTAATCGGTTGCGCCCCCCCCCTCCTCCCAAAACAGAATACTTCGCTAAGACCCTTCCTTCAAAAGTTACACCCTGGTATAGAGCAAGAAGAAAGTTAATGCCTACTGTGACTTTCCCTACCCTCGATGCCGAACTGGGAAGATACTCTTGGCGATGTTCAATATTTGGCAGATAAAAGTGCCGAAAAGGACGACTCCGACTGAGCTTTCAGCCTGTCCTGGCGTACTCCTGGCGACAGTCCTGCTTTTCATTGTTGCAAACAAAAGTCAAGTGGGGTTCGTTGATCATATTAATTAATTTATAAAGATAGGAGACGAAAAATTAGAAGAAGTGACTGATTTTAGATATCGAGGAAGTCAGATAAGTCAGGACGGAAGGAGTAGTTGGGATATAAAGCAGAGGATAGCGCAGGGTCGTGTCGCCTTTAATAAAAAGAAGTCACTTCTGTGCTCGAGAACGGTTAATTTAGAAATTCGAAAAAGATTGTTAAAGGTGTATGTTTGCAGATCGGCGTTGTACGGGTGCGAAACATGGACAGTGGGTGCGGCGGAAAAGATAAGGTTAGAAGCTTTCGAAATATAGTGTTAGAGGCGAATGATGAGGATACCGTGGATAGAGAAGGTTATAAAGGAAGAGGTGTTAGAAAGAATAGGAGAACAGAGGACTCTATGGAAGTCAATAAAAAATAGGCGAGATAGGTTGGTAGGACACCTTCTCGGACATGAAGGTCTAGTCAGAGACATATTAGAAACAGAAACAGGAGTTAGGAGGGGTAGAGGTAGCCCTAGATTAGATTTCTGTTCACAAATAGTTAAGGATATGGGTTATTCTAGTTTTAGGGAAATGCGAAGATTAGCTCAGAATAGGAAAGAGTGGAGGTACGTGTCCAACCAGTCTTAGGATTGATGACCTTATAATGATGATGATGATGAATTAGCGGTTTAATAAATAGTCTAACAGTTCTACATATGGCTAAATACAGTTCACTACCACTTCAGTAAGCAGTGGTAAAGAAATTCCTGTAGTATGAAAACTGTAGGGGTAGCCAAGGTAACGCGACTTGTTTACCTATACAAGAACACGTGAAGTTATCGCGACCGGAACAAAATCAAAAGGCAAAAATGTCTCGGCGGACAGGTATTCTCTCCAGTTCAACGACCACTTTGATATTATGTGGAGAGAAACATCGATTCTCCGGTTCTTGTTGTATACAATAAAGTGTGAACAATAAACTAAATTTATCGCAAAATATTTCCGTTCTAATCGTAGTAAATAGGGTTTTATCAAGAAAACGGTGTCGGTTTTAATGTTATATGCATTAAACAGATTACATTATTGGAATTAAGTTTGGTCGATTGTATTGTATTGTATTATTAAACGGATCAAAATGTGGAGGAATATATGTAGAAGAACTACCGAAGATAAAGTAAGAATTCGTGCATGTTTATTTGTTTGAACCAGAATAATGTTATCTTATTATGTACAGGGACGTAGCCAGACTTTTTTGTGTGAACCAAGGGTGGAGGGTATCTTTGTACGTTTTAATTTCCTTGTGACGGCTGCATAATTTTACATTATGCGAAGTCGAAATTTCAGATTATATCGGATTAAATTAATATTCAGGGTGGGCCAGCACATGGGTCAAAATTTTTAGTGCGTAATCCTTAGCCCACCAGAGCAGAGACCGATCTAACAATTTAGCCGCTTCCGACAAAGATAGTATTTGTCGCACTTCACAATGACAGTGAATAGGTAAATCATGGGCATGTTATTCCAAAGATGGGCTGTTGCTATTAGTGATGAGTAAAATTGCTCTTGGTCTTGCCGCCTTGTTCTTGGTCTTGCGAAAAAGAAAACCCAAGACTGTTTTTATGCCAGCAAAAGCACGACCATGACCGAACGAACAAAATCAAGACTATAACCAAAACACAATATGCATGACAAAGTTCAGATAGGTAGTAATCGAAAAATTATTACTTTCGGTGGATTTATGAGTTAAATTATTTGAAGCAACATTAATATATATTTTTTTCTTGGAACAAAACGTTTTCCTTACTAGATTTAAAAAAAAAAGAAACATTACCACTGTTTGACAAAAGGGATCTACAAGAGCGTCTTAGGAGTAAGTGTTCTTTGTTCCTATGTCTTAATAATACATGGTCGAATATAGAAACTACTTTGTTTTCGATATATTTTACTTCTTTCATGTTAAAGGTCAAATTTATGCGTTGGAGAAAGGGTCAATTTTCATAACTCTATCGACACTATTTTCTTTAAAGGTCATAGCAAGCGCGCATGTATGACAAAGAAGTTCAGCATTTAAGACAATTATGGTGTCGGTAAATACTTCTTCTTCTGAAGGAATATTCCAAATTTCATGAGGTCATGTATGTGACGGAAATGTCTCCAGCAGAGAACATTATCACCAAGAAACCTGTGCTAAACTGATAAAGAAATAATTTTGGGTTACATATACAGACAAGCGAATAAACTTGATGGGGTCCCTAAAACGTCGCGTCGGGTATTCCCCAAAAAATATTATATTACCTAGGTACATACAGACTATTAGAAATATCTACTTCTTTCAACATTGGTGGGGAATCCCGTGAAACATAAACGAAACGAAAAAGGTTGCAACTTCAAAAATGTAAAATCAGAAAAAAATCAGGAGAATTTTCTTGTATTTTCAACTCAAAAATCATTACATTTTGGGTACTCAAAAGAGTTGGTTCCTTTACTATATTTAAATAACTACAAGTGCACACTAAATTAGTTTATAGTGAACTCGCCAAAACACATGACGAGATGATAAAATATGTTAACTTGATCTAGATGTTGGCTAGACGACGGTTGAAATTGTTCTCTTCCAAATTTATTAAAATTCTTAATATCTAAATTCTAGTTCAAGCTGCATAACTATTTGCAGGGTGGTAAACTTTAACAACCCTAGAAATACCGAATGGCAATGAGCCTTTTGAAACAAGCAATAAATGTGATTAAGTTTCTTTGGTATCTGCACAACATTAGTGCAGGAATTAGAGTTTGGAAAAGTTTGCTGAAGGCAAATTCTTGAAATTACAAATAGTAATATTGAGTACTGATTTAGGACAATTGATACAAATAAACAAATATACAATTATGACTAAAATATTAACAAATATGTTGCCAACATGTAAACAGATATCTCAAATCAAATATTAGTAGTATTGAGATCGTCGTCTTATTTTAGTCTGGACAAGACATTAAATGCTACTGTACTCTAAAATATACGCCTAATCTAAGTCGCAACCACGGTAAATGCCACCAAGTAGCCATTAGAATGTATATAAAAATTGTTGTAATATTTTGTGACCATTCAACACTTTTATTATTATTTCTGTTGATGCGATGCTTTCCATTATTTCTCATGCTTAAAACCTTGACCAATATAGTCGCAAAACTACTGGACTATACACAAAAAAATTAGTAATTATCGTCCTTGTTTCGAAAAGGTTCAGTGACCACAGTAGGTATACCGCACCAATATTTCCAGGCAATTAAAAAGATTTTACTTTTATTACAGTCTGATGTCAGTGTTGACTTAAGTGAGATAATAATTGTAACTTTGTAGTCGTTCAATGATTTTCTTTGTCTCTCATTAAGTGTAAGTATAAAGTGCAGTGAACAAGAGCGTTATCGAGAGTGTGTACAACTAAACACTAAATTGCAAATATTAAGAAATTAGGGAATGAAATTCTTAGTATTAAAGAAAAGATAATCGTGTAGTTATCACAATAGAATAATATAAGTGGTACGCATTCAATGCTAAATTAATTGAAGTAACTTGGTATGAGCATTTTACTGCTAGTAGTGAACTTAACGTGTTACATCTACGAACAGTGTAATAATCCATAGTTTGTTTTTGAGTGATTTTTCTAGGTACATATAAACTAATAAGTATTATAAGTAATTTCATAAGAATTGATTACTTTCTTACATGGAGAAAATGAAAAACGAAAATTTACCGTAGCGCAACGGAAGCGCTACAAAATGTANCTAGATGGCCTTTTCTTTCAACAGCCTAGGTTAGATACTGACTACAATTGAGATTTGTCTAATTAAGAAGAAAATAATGTGGTCCTTGACTTTGTGTTGCTATTGCGAATGTTTTGACTGAGTATTACCGCCCCCCCCCTCCCCCCGGACCACAAAATGAATAGTTACGCCGCTGATCCATCAGTAAAAATCATGATTGTAGTAAAAGTGACATTTTATACTTATATCTTCGATGCTCTGTGACATCATACCTACATTGGCACTGTACCTCAAACAGCCGAGTAAATATTACATTTAAATACGGAAATAATGACCTTTACAATGTTTAAAAACCCACCAGGGTCACGTCATCACCCAGTACATTTCATTATTTGTTAGGTGCAAGTAGACGGATATGTGAGTGGGTTTTTGCGTAAATGCGCGTTCTAAGTACATTATTGTTATGAACGAACGCCGTTCGTACGCACGTCTGTTACCTTTTAATATTAACCTGTTGATTTCTATTTTATTACCTATACATCAGCGTCTATAACAAACGAAGGCGAAAAAAGACGAAAGAACATTTCAATTGTTATTGCTGTTGTTGTTGTTGTTGTTTAACCATCAACAGCAACGAAAGTTGTGAAGTTCGCGTTTAACTGCGATACTACTTTTTAATATTAGTGCTTTGGTACCAACGTTAGGTAATAGGCGCACTCCAGTTGGTAATTAGTTCGGTTAATTAGTTGTGAAGTTTCTATTAAAATGACTTTTTGATTAATTGAATTTGGTAAGTTTTAAACTTAAATATGATTTGTTTTCTCTAAAGACGTAAATCCGCTGTGTTGAAATTATTTTTAAAAGTTAATTATTGCAAATATGTGACTAGAGATGTGGAATGTTCTAATTTTCGGGAAACGCGAAAGTTGGTCCAAGATAGGTGCAAATTCAAATTATCATTGGACTGAAAATCTAAGGAAAATCAAACGTGCACCAGACTAGAGAAATCTCAATCATTAAAGGAAACATTTTTTAGAACACCGGTCGAAATATATGAAAATGTCCTAATTTAGTGTCAGAACCAAAAGCTCCGCTATTTAAACATACGTATTGATGGTCTTCGAACATTTGTTAATGTTCTCCATTCTTCCGATCTGAAGAAATTCCAAAATTACAGGAAACATTCCCTAGCTAGTTGTGGTTGCAAAATCAGATACATATATAGACCCACACACATCTATTTTTATTCCTATATACATATATTGTTTCCAGAATTATCCACCTACCTACTTTATTTGTAGATTAAAAAGTCAAGTTTATTTCGGAAAATTCAGTTATAAATACCTACTAAAATAATACCGTTAAAAATTACATTCCAAATCAAAACGTTTGAAATGTACTCCATCCATTCAACAGATACGAAACGTCGACTACAAACAAAGCAAACCCGTCATCCTAGACTACTATTATTACCTACTGTTCATTTTCTGCAATACGAAATGTTTATGCTTTCGAGTTTCATCTGTAAATGTTTACTTTGGTATCCTTTTTTATTGACGATTTATTTTTTAATACTGGCGCGCGATGTCCCAATGGACATCTGCAAATTTTATTAGCTAGTACGTACATCCGTCACAGTGGCGTAACGAAGGGTGTGGGGGGGGGGTCTGTCCGCTACGACCTCGGGGCCTGAGGGAGGCCCCTTCGGCTTCCAAGGGGACTTATTTTTTGGGTAAATGTCTAGATGGAGTCCCACACCCCCGACGGGGTGGGATGGGTGGTATCGAAAGAGGAGGTCTCCCCCAACACTGTACCATAAAAATTTCGTGGCGGTCTCACCCCCATAAAAAGTTATGAGAGTTAGATGGAGTTGGGGGTAGGGGGGATCGAAAGAGGGTGGTCACCTGAGTAAAACCCCATAAAAAAATTGCGGCGGTCTCACCCCCATAAAAAGTTATGGGGGTTAAAAGTTGATTATTTTGACAATTTTCATACACTATAATTCAAATAAAATTCAATAAAAAAATTATTTTCAAGCGGGTGGAGGTGGGGGATCGAAAGAGGGTGGTCACTTGAACAAAACCCGATAACCTAACCTAACCTAACCTACCCTATTGATAAAGATATTTAAATAATGTTTTATATAACTTTCTCAATATTTTTATGTATTTTTCATTAGTTTTACCTTTGAATATTGTTTAAGAATGACTATATAAATATTTACATGCCTAGAAATGTATAAAAATTGGCATATTTATTAACTTTGAACCCCCATAACTTTTTATGGGGGTGAGACCGCCAGGAACTTTTTATGGTACAGTGGTGGGGGAGACCTCCTCTTTTGATCCCCCGAAGGGGGTGGGGGCCATCATCTAGACCTTTACCATTTTTTTAATATGTTTTTAACCATTTTTTTATGCAATGTTTTTGTTTGCAGGTATGTAACAACAATTAAATGGACACTTACCTACCTTTTTATGGGAGTGAGACCGCCACGAAACTTTTATGGTACAGTGGTGGGGGAGACCTCCTCTTTCGATCCCCCCATAGGGGGTGGGGGCCATCATCTAGACCTTTACCATTTTTTGGAACATCTATTAAACGCAAGGACCCACAGAAATAAAGTAACAAAACTGTCAACTTTTTTATTAGTTTTGATAGGTATCTGTGAGGGGTACAGGCGTTATTATTTTTTTCTTTCACCAGCCATTGTATCTAGATGGCCTTTTCTTTCAACAACCTAGGTTAGATAATGACTGCAGTTGAGATTTGTCTAATTAAGAAGAAAATAATGTGGTCCTTGACTTTGTGTTACTATTGCGAATGTTTTGACTGAGTTTTACCCCCCCCCCCCCCCCC